ACGATGATGATGATGATGAGGAGGAGGAAAAAAAGGACAGTGAAAAGGATGTTGAAGAAGATGATGGAGACTTGATACCAAATGAGGGAGATATTAAAGTGGAGGATCTGGAGGAGCAAAATGACTTGGATAACAACAAAGAGGTAGGCATTAGAGGGCAAAAAGTCTTAGGCCATCAGACTACATATATCTCAAGTATCATTTTATATTTCCCATTACCACTGACAGAAAACTGTGACAATGAACTCCTGGTTCTTAATGAAATGTGAACTTACATTCCATTTTATATGAGTAATTAATAAACACAATCTTTTGTATTGTGCAGGTTGATGACCATTCTCTGATTGAAGAAGAAAAAACAGAGGAAACAGAAGAAGGTGCAATAATTTCTGCTTCCTTTCTATCTCAGATTTATTTTAAATTTCTCTATGTAAGCAGGGGTTCTATCTTATTAACTGATCCAGGGATTGGTTTGTTTTCAGTAGTCAGCTTAGCTTCTCACCATCAGTATTTTGAAAATATTTCTAAAGGATTTTCTGTTGAGCTTAAAGCCATAAAATGTACATTTTCTTGAAAAATTGTCAAAAATAGGTATTTGATAAATCACATTTCCTTTGAGGAAAATGTATCAGAGAATGTGGTTGTTTATGTTAAATGCTTTCATAAGCTTTTTCATGGAAAGAACTAAAATCACCACCTTGAAGTTTGTAATTGCTCAGAATGAAAAAGGTGAAAATGTTTGTTTACATCAGACACCCACGAAATGGAAGGTACAGAAGAATCAGCTGATGTTGAAGAGCCAATGGAGACATCAGGACCAGCAGAAATAAGTGTAGAAGACACAAGTGAACAAATGAAAGATGACAGTGCTGCAGCCATGGACATGTCAGAGCTTGATGGTTCCAAAGAGAACAGTTTGTCAGTCTCGTTGTTTGTCCATGCAGATGACGTACAAGATGACCTTGATGATGATTTGAAAGAAGCAGCTGCAGCAGAGGCTGCAGCAAAAGAGGCAGCTGCTGCAGAAGCTGCTGCTAAGAGTCAAGAAAAGGGGGAAGAAAAATCTGAGAAAGGTGCCAAAGCTGTTTGTTTAGATTGTGTATCTTTATTATTATGAATTTTAGATTAGCACTTCTTATGAGTTAAATTTGGCCCAACTATGTTTGTGACCACATATTGGTGTTATGTGGAGTCACCTCCCTTATTGGAAAGCCCAGAATTAAAACCCTAAAGCAAAAGTGTTACCAGTTCACAAAAGATTTTCTGTAAACAAGGAGCCCTCAGTCATGTTGCTGATGCTTTTTCATGGTTCCCTATTGGGACAAGTACAGTATAAAATCAGAACTCACTCAACTGCTTCTAGATGAGATAGCAGGGGTCCAAGTAAGCACTGAAAACTTGTTTTCAAGAATTAGCCATAACAGCAAGAAAGCAAGAATATCACCAAAGCTGGTGCCATGGGATAAGGAACACAATATCTGTTATACCTCATCATCTTGGAAATCAAACTTGGTCCAAGTGGAAAAAGAAAATACTGAAGAGTGGAACTTTATAACCATCAAATCATCTGTTTGTTAAATGCACTATCTACTTAGGGCCAAGTTGGAAATGGGGGTTAAAAAATCTTTAGTTGCAATTATTCCTATAACTGAATCTTTGGTGGTCCTTCATGCAACAATTTCCTTTCTTTTGATTGCACTGCAAAATATCTTCATCATTTGATTATCATTGGCATCACATATGTATTGTAAAGAAATTACATGTACTGTAAAGAAAGTGGTGAGCTAAGAAAATACTTTTTCATCATGGGGAGAGTTTTGGATTATGCTTGTGAAAATGTTTACTTATCAGTAATATTATTGGCTAGTTGTGTATGATATTAAGTTTGAGAGGAGAAATGCTTTCAAACTTTCTTCCTTTTTTTTTTCCTTTTTCTTTTTTTCTCTTTTTTTCCTTCTTTTTTTTATGCATGGAACCAATGACATGTGCAGAATTCCCTCTCACTATGGAACTACATTTTACAATCTAACCCTTAACCAGAGAAGACACCTTTCAATGACTCTTGATGAATGTTCTCTCTGTTTTATTTGTTTTTTTGTTTGAAGTCACGGTTTGATTCTATTTTGATTCTAAGCCAACTTATCAACTTATTTTTGCCAGGGAAAACCAAGGATGCTGAAAACCATGTTGGGAAAGAAGACACCAAGGCAGCAGATAAAGCAAAAGAAGAGAAGGCTAAAGATGGAGGAAGTTCAAAATCTCAAACATCTTCCTCCCAGAGGTGCAGTAAGATTAAACAATTCTGAGAAGTAAATGACAAATTAAAGATGGTTTCAGTTAAATTATTTAATTTTTTTGGATTGACCAGTTGCTGCTGGAACAGTTGTGTCACACCCTATGTATTTCATACTTCATGCAGGATGAGTAGGCCACATCTCCAGGCATTGTAATTGTAGCTTGAACTTCTTTTAATCCTTAACTCCTAAGATCTGATTGTTATTTCTCCCATTACTCATTTCCTTATAAACTAGTTTCAAGAATTTGATGTTAGATCAAGAAAACTTCTACATGTTAATTTGGAGTATTCTAATAACCTGTGTGCTGGATGTCATATGGTTATTATAACGAGAAGTTACATGTTAATCACTTTAGGTAGTGAACAAGTTAACTGCCACTTTCCTGAAAACTTTTTTTTATATCTGGTATAACATCACCATTGTGGGTGTTTTCTAAAGCTTTATAGAGATCTATAAGAAATCAGTTAGCTTGCCACAGTTTTAACCCTTTAACTCCTAGAAGTGATTGAGAGGTAATTTCTCCCTAAATTATCAATACACCATCCAGCAAACGGGTTATGAGAACACTAAAACTCATCATGTATAAGTTGTTATTCTTGATCTAATACCAAATTCACTTAACTTATTTTAAAGGAAATGTGTAGCAGCTAGAGGGGAGAAGTAACAATCAGATCTGGGAAGGTTAAGGGTTAAAACCAAGGAAGACTTTAAAAACGGTGTTCTTTATTCTCTTTCACTTTGCTTTCAGTGAGAAAGGGAAAACAGGTGAAGCTAAGAGTAAAGATTCCAAAGCTGCTGACAACAAGACAACCAAAACACCAGGAAAGAGTGCTTCCTCTGCAAAGGACAAAAAAGAAACTGGAAAGAGTCTGTGGGTGAGCAATCTGTCATCTGTAACAAGAGCTGCAGACCTGAAAACAAGGTTCAGTCAGTATGGAAAGGTGAGGAGTGAATTTATCACTTATTCTAAGAGTTTCACAGTGTTCTCCCTCAATTTAAGCATGGTAGATAAAATAAATTTTCAAACCTTTGGGGCAATCCTCTTCCTTGATCAATCTAAGAATTCCAAGCAGTTTTTTGTAGTATTAGGAGCTTCTACAGGAAATAAATATCACATGTTACTGCCTGAAAAGGAAAGTACTGGTTTCATATCTTGTTAACCTTATTTTTGAAGTAGTTGGCCTTTGTACAATCTTTAAAACCTTTCCCTCCCAAGATCTCATCGGTAATTCTCCTTACTGTCTTCCATACAATTCTTTTGATGTTAGTTCTGAGAATTTGGTATTGGATCAAACAATCCCCTAATTGATATTTTTCTTAATTCTCTTCTCCTGACTGCTTGATATTATATCAATATTGTGAGGAGAAATTTTGTCTTGGTCACTTATTGGAATTAAGAGGGTAGCTAGGGGTAAAATGTCAATGAATGTGCAGGGCGTGAAATTAATTTTTTTTTCTGATAGCCACTTGGCTCCTAAATTCTTCAAAGTGGTAGCCAATTCAAAGAGAGTTGGTTGCCATTTTCAAAGACAAACGAAACCTTTTGTTATGCTGTCAGCGTTCTAGATAGACCCTCCAAAATTAAGTCAGGGAAAAGATCTTTAATGTGCCACAAAGTGGACACTAGGATGGATAATATACAACCGTTAAGCTCACCTAAATCCAAGATGGCATCTCGTTATTGATCAAGATGCATGTGCTGTGTTTTGGAAACAAACTAAATGAGGAAGTTTGCCACTGATTTATCTTTACAAATCTTTTTAATTCACTATATCTCCTGGTAAGGTTATGATGAAACATTCTAGTCACCAATTTGGTGACTAATTTTCAGGATTTGGTTGCCAAAGTGAAAAATTTAGTTGCATTGGCGCCTGTATTAGGCACAATTTCACACCCTGGTGTGGTGATTCTCTTTAATCTTTTGAATAGTTTGGTAAACCTTGATATTTTACTGTTGTATACCCCAGTAAAGTTCTGGACCAGGTTTTTCAAAGCTGGGTTCAGATAACCCTAGGTTGTAGATAATTCTTTTTGTTTACAATCTGATGACTGGATGCTTAAGAGAAAAAAAAGTGAACTTTATCCTGCTAATTTCTCTTCAAACAACTGGGCTATGAGCTTCCTTGAACAGTTTCAAAGCCAAGTGGAATTAGCCATTGCATAAATACATCATTCAGGGAAATGATGCCTTGTAGAAGTGATATGAAAAGTTTTTTTGAGATGCTCAAGTACTGAGGGGGAAACTGTTTTTTGAAACTGTTCCTGGTTTTTAGGTGGTTGGTGCTAAGATTGTGACAAACTCTAAGGCTCCTGGTGCCCAGTGCTTTGGACTTGTTACCATGTCAACAAGTGAGGAGGCTGCTAAGTGTATATCACACCTTCATCGCACAGAACTGCATGGAAAAACTATCACAGTGGATAGGGTAAGTGGATCATTTTCTTTTGGTAAAGAACTCAGCTAGTGAAATCTTCTTTAGTTGGTCTGGTGGCATAAGATAAACAAGAAAGAAGAGGAAAATCCAGGCATGAAAAGTGTGTGGCATGAAAACCTTGCAGTATTTTGGTGAATCTTTTAGCTGGGTAGAAACAAATTTTTGTGTTATAAAGATTAACCAACAAAGTTTGGTGGTTTTGGCTCATATCCAGAAATGACTGATCTTTTGTGGTGGTCTTTTATAGGCTAAAGGTGATCGCATACCTACAACTCAATCTAGCTCTGCCAAGAAGCCAACAGATAAGAAACCAGTTGATAAGAAGCAAGCTGACAGAAAGCCAGCTGTCAAAAAGCCTGCAGAAAAGAAACCAGTAGAGAAGAAACCAGCAGAAAAGAAACCAGCAGACAAGAAGCCAGCTGATAAGAAACCAGTTGAGAAGAAGGACAAGCCAGGTATGTGTAGTTATGCAAAGTTGTAAATATCCAGGTTCTAGCCAAGGAAATACTCTGTTGGTTAAGAGCTGGCCCAGCAAGAGATATGATAACAAGATTTGACTCCCAATCTTTTGCAACCCCTTCACAGTGAGGCTACTAAGCCATTGCATGATGATGATACATGTTATTTGTCCCTATTAAGTTACTTGAAAGTCCCCTGTCTTCCCCCCCCCCCTCCCCCAAAACGAAATGGGTGAGAGGGAAAGGTAAAGGAGAGGTAGCAAGAAATTCAAATAGTAGTAGAGTGGAACAAGACTTTTACCACTCGATGTACACCTGATAGATTTGCACGCACTTCTTTAAACTTGGAGTTTGTCAATGAAGCACACATGACACCCCTTTTCATTCTTTATACCAATGAGAGCGACTTCGCACTTAGCCACGTCCTTGTGGCATAATATCGGCACCAGATCACCGAAGAAAAGACAAGACCTCAGAAGTGGCCAATTGAAAGCCATGGAGTAGTTAATTAATGTGGCGTTATTCCTCATACTGATGTTTAAGATTTTCCTTTTGATCTATCGACAGCTGACTCATCAGACAAATCCAAAGCAAAAACTGATGACAAGAAGCCGCTAGCAAAGAAACCTGTGGAAAAGACTCCTGGTAAATCGACAGCCTCTAAAACACCAGCTAAGTCATCTTCTAGAACTACTCCAAAACAACAGAAGTCAGGTTAGTCTAATACTAATAGATTTATTATGGACGTAATTTTAAAAGCATTGCTTAGAGCAACTGTACCCTCTTATACTTGGCTTGATCCTTTCTTTTCCTCTCTTGTCGGATTAGACGAAATTCTTCTGGTTTTCTTTTAGCTGTACATATTTTTCAACTTCCTTTGCGTGGATTGTTGCTGGATAAGCTTTAGGGACTGTGGTGATAGTATGATTCGCGTGGAATGGTGGTGTAACTTTTAGGATGGTTCATCCAGTTACACGCCATCATTTTTAGGTTGTTCAGTGTACAGAGCTCCATCACTGAGTGTTTCTTCTTCAAAGCTAATGAATCAGTGTCCTTTTGCGTTGCATTTCCTCTCACTCATCCTTCTCTATGGTGGTCAACAAATCACTTGTAAATCAAGGAAGCATACGATGGAAAGGAAGAGCTTAATGACAGGATAACGGCGTTGTTGACATAATCCCAACACTCGTCGTGGAATGCTGTTGTAGAGCATCAAAGAAAATTTTAATCCTGATCATACGAGAGTCAATTCAACTAATAAATCTAAACCTTGTTGACTGATCTCCTAGTTGAGTTAGTCAAGCGTTGTACTGTTGTTTAAAATGATTCTCAGGTTGTGCCGATCGGAGCTGCACAGGTTTTCTTGAAGCTGATTAACTACTTTTGTGATTTTGTTATGATTCGTCAAGGCTCTTTTTGAGGCGTTCTATCCTGCTCCTTAAAGACACCCTTTGGATTTGTGGGACGAACACGATGCTAACAATTGAGCTTCCTGTCGAGTAATTGCATGCAGTTTACTCTTGCATTTGAGACTGTTGAGGTTCCATCCCGTCACATTTGGTTTTTTGTTTGTGTTCCTTCGCTTTCGTTTTGCCTGCTTTGTTTGCAAGAGAAGTATGTGTCGTGAAGATTGTCTTTTATTTAGCATAAAATGTTCTGTTTTGTTTTACGATTAATACTAATCACAGGAAGTACTTCTTCAAGTGGCAAAAAAGACGAAGGTTCGAAACCGGTCGTGTCGAATAAATCCTCTGACAAGGAAAAGGAGAAAGACAAAGACCAGGAGAAGGAAAAAGACAAAGACAAGACGGAGAAAAGCACCGACAAAGATAAAAGTAAAGAAAAGGACGATAAAAAGCCCAGCAAAAGCCCAATCAAGTCTATTGACGAGATCCGACGTGATAGGCAGGAACGACAGAGGCTGGAGAGAGCTAAAGAGATCCGTGAGCAGCGTGAACGTGAGCGACAGGAACGACTTCGACGAGAGCGTGAAAGGCTTGAACGGGAGAAAATGGCCGAACGACAACGTGAACGTGAACGAGAAAGAGAACGTGAAAGGAGAAGGCTTCAGGTTATACGTGAACGAGAGATACGCGAAAGACAAGAACGTGAACGAATACGGCTGCAGCGTGAAATAGAACGGCAAAGAGAACTGGAACGCCAACGGGAACGTGAACGCCGTGAACGCGAGGAACGTGAACGCCTAGAACGGGAGAGGCGTGAGAGACTTGAACGAGAAAGACTTGAGCGTGAACGAATTGAACGTGACCGCTTACAACGCATTGAACGCGAACGATTGGAACGTTTGGAACGTGAACGCCTTGAACGAGAGCGTTTGGACCGTCAACGTTTAGAACGTGAACGATTGGAACGTGAACGTCGGAGCCTAAAGCGCCATGGTGCGCCCTTTGAACGTGGAGATCCAGCACATGCTCAGAAACCAGTTGGTTTTTGGGAAGAACCTAAACGGGCTGCTTTGGGTGACGAAAGACCGCGTGACTTCTTCAGCGGTTCAGTGGGTGAGCGTGATAGCAGACGTGACCGTCCTGAAGTCTCCTCAGACAGGCGTGATTCTCGAGGAGGCCATCGTGAAGACGGTCGGCAACCAGCTGGAGCCGGTCGCGAACGCAGAACCGAGGAGTGGAGTCGAGCAGACGAAAGGCGTCTTAAGAAAGATGAGAGAGAGCGACGTAACGAAGAAGGACACCGCGGGCGTGACAAACCTCACGACCATTCCAGAGGAGCACGTGATCGTGACTTGCGTGACAGCCGTGGCAACCACGAGACTAAGGCCTGGGCTACTGGAGGTGACTTGTCTGGGGCCGGTGTTGGGGTTCTTGGAGCTGGAATGGATCCACAGAAGAGCTTGTCCATCTTATTGGAGCGTGCTGGCGTCAGGGGCATCTTGGGCTCAGGCGCCTCAGCTCAAGGACATAATGTGCGAGGTGATTTGAGTAAATCTATAGAGGAACCCAATTGGCGTGCCCCTGACCCTCGTGATAGCAGGCCGCCTATCCCTCAAGCTGACAGAGGGGGGAACTTTACGCACGGGTCCTCAGGACTCACAGACATTAGAAATGTCCATGTTGATGCACGCTTCGGTTCGCTGTCCATGGACACAAGCCATCGCTCTGTGGCCATCACTGGAGGAGTGGAATCTAGCAAGCCACCCGCGCGAGACTGGCGAGACACACATGGTGGTAGCCTGACATCTAGAGACCGCGATGCGCTTGCTGCCAGGGAGAGGGAGCGTCCACGAGATCGTGGCGCGGAGGTCAAGCAGAGCATTCCTCGTCCAGGAACCATGTATGATGCTCGGGATACCCGTGCACCGATCAGCCGTGACTCCATACCGCCTAGAGGTGCGTGGGGAAATGGAATGGACTCGCGCCAAAATGCCACTCCTTCTCTTGGCGTGTCAAATGCAGGCCGCCCCTCCGTTGACGATAGGTCGCGTGCTGCAGTCACTGCCCGCGACAGTGCACCAACTCCTTGGAACCAGCCCGGAAGTTCTTTGGCGGCTCCTGTTGCCCGAGGTGCTTACACTGGAAGTGCAGTTCCCGGTGCGGAGAGGCGCCACCCTGTCGCAGGCGATGTCAGATATGAGCCTTACAAGGGCGCCCCACGTGTCAGCATGATGCGGCGGTACTGAAACATTGATAAACTTCTGACGTTTCTTTGATTCGGTGGACGATTTTAAGTTAACTTCAAGTTTAAGGTGTGAAACAGTCCTCTGTGAATCTTATACTTGCGCAAGTTTTAGAACCTTGTGTGAAACTTGGTAACTTGCTCGACAATTTTGGCATTTTAGAGTCTCGGAAATTCTCAACTGAGCATAACTTGTACGTTAGAATTAACGCCTGTTCATTTTGCACCAACTCCTTGCAACCAGCCCGGAAGTTCTTTGGCGGCTCCTGTTGCCCGATGTGCTTACACTGGAAGTGCAGTTCCCGGTGCGGAGAGGCGCCACCCTGTCGCAGACGATGTCAGATATGAGCCTTACAAGGGTGCCTCACGTGTCAGCATGATGCGGCGGTACTGAAACATTGATAAACTTCTGACGTTTCTTTGATTCGGTGGACGATTTTAAGTTAACTTCAAGTTTAAGGTGTGAAACAGTCCTCTGTGAATCTTATACTTGCGCAAGTTTTAGAACCTAGTGTGAAACTTGGTAACTTGCTCGACAATTTTGGCATTTTAGAGTCTCGGAAATTCTCAACTGAGCATAACTTGTACGTTAGAATTAACGCCTGTTCATTTTGATTTAGCTTGTAATCCAAAGTAATCATCCAATGGGAGGTATTTAAACAAGAAGAGCCCCGTTACGGGTAGATGATCGCGCCTGTAGTTGAACGTACAATAATAGTTCAACATCGTGGTATATAGAAATTTCAAAATCTTGATGCATCTATCGTCGTGTCCTTTCATCTTACCTGAATGAGGCTTTTGATCTTTCGGCTTTCAATATCTTTTATTTCGAATAAATGGCATGGATTAACAATTGTTGGAGTCTCGTTATGCGTGAAAATTATGTTGGACTACGCTCAAGATCGCGAAAGTTAAGGACGAAGCAATCTTGGAAGCGAATCGTAAACATGGATGAATGAAGCTTGCAAAGCAGTCTGTAACGTCCCTAATGCAAAAATAATTACTGCGCCAAGTGCTATGGATGATAAAGTCAAGGGATAATGATGTAAACGAATATAAGTTTGAGAAGAAGAAATCATTAATTCTTGCCGAATTTACCCACCCCGTCAGCGTGTTACAGTTAAACAATGAAGGATCAAGATGGAATTTCGCGGAAAAACGAAAATGTTGAAATGGTTGTGGACGTAAGAGTCGCGTGCCAAGGGATTTAACGAAAATTGTTATTGTTCACAAAGTTTCGTCGGGCTTATATCTCGTTAACTTATTAACCCTTTAACTCCCAAGATCTCATTAGTAATTCTCCTTACTGTCTACCATACAGTTCTTATGATGTTAGTTTTGAGAATTTGGTATTGGATCAACTACTAATCCTCTATATTTTTCTTTATTTTTGTCACTTATCTGCTTGATATTGTATTGATATCGCAAGGAGAAATTCTGTCTTGGTCACTTATGGGAGTTAAAGGGTTAACGTACTGCCTAGTCGTAGTGGTGAAGCAAACACGAGTAAATGATGTTGCACGGGTCTCCAGCTTATTTATCTTATAGCATTCAAATAGATACACTCCACTCTAGTCCGCCTCTCCCCTCCCCTGGTGCCTTACCCACTGGTCATGTTGAACCTGTTTTGCGTGGTCACGTGTCGGTGGTTGATCACTTGATGTTCCCATGCGGTGTTCAGCTTTTGTTTGTTTCACCATTGGAAACCTTGTACTTTTTATCTTGCTTTGGTAAGTTGATGCAGGTAACTTGTTTTGTTAACACTTGTGTCCCAGTACAGGCAGCACAGCTGAAGGAAGCGATGAGGTGAGTTACAAGCTTCTGCAAACTTAATTCCACAGTGAGCTTGCGGCATTCATCAGAGCGCTTTTCGTTGAGTGTCGTAAATCCAAAGTTTCACCAAGGCCAATCAAAACAAAGGAAAATACTTCTAAGAGCCAATGAGAACTAAAGGTATAAACAACCAAACTGTCTAAAGCGCGGGAAAACGCGGGCGACCAAGTCGTGATTGGTTTTAGTTTTGCACCCGATTGGATGAGAGAGTTTCGCGAGTTTTCTGGACCAATCAGAGTAAGTAATCGCGAAACCAATATAATCTCAGATTGTTTTCGACACTTTGAAAACTGCTCTAGGTTTTTCACCAAACTGACTTTACCGGAGGAAATTCTGGCGATATCCCGAGAATGCTGCAAAACTACTGTAGCATTGAACTTTGGTTGTCTTAATTCCACTAAAGAACTTAAATTCCATACATAAAGTATGTTTTATTTTCATAGACCCTTCTCTCTTGAGTGTATTATGAAGCAAATTGTCTTTTATTTTTGATTGGCTTTGTTCAATATTTTCCCCTGTAAAAGTAGAACATAGAGGTGACCGGTATTTAAATTTCAAAATTCGATTTTCTATCTAGCAAATAAGGATGACGAAAACGCTTCTTATTTCCTCGCACGCTACATGCGCAGTAACTTCATGATTTTCAATTCGTTTGCAACTGCAGTTAAATAAGGTGTCAAAATCTTCAGCTGACGTCACGGTTACTGATAATAATTGCATTTACGTATCGATCTTAAGTTTTGTGAAGGAGGAAGCCGCGGAAGGGAGAGGGGGGGTGAGGCGTTGGATGTTGTGAAGGTGAAAGTGACAGTTGTCACAGAATTTCTTAAAAGTGACTGATCGATTAGTTCGAAAATGATTTAAATAAGAAACTCTACAGTACTTACCTTTACCTTTCAGGTATGTATGGTTTTCGTTTCCTTGAGGTACCATTGAGATCTTCTAGAGAGTTCTTGTCATAATTTTTGTACTTTTCTATTTGCTTTTTGTAATAAAATTCAGTTTCTTTTTGATATGGTTGTGTATTTACTGACGTATCCGGTTTTAACATTTAATACCAAT